TTTCTATCTAACAACCGAGTCCTTTCCAAGTCGTTATTATGATAGCACTTTTTACGGAAATTAAAAAGCCACAATTTCTGATTTTGAGTAACTACTAGAAAGCAGACATGGAATGCTAGAGCACGCACTAACGGGCCGAACCAGATTTTACAGAAACCATGCACATAACTATGCTTACTTTTGCTCATTTGGTAGGAAATCACATTGTTTTCATATGCTATGCCCGAAGAAAGTGTATAGTTTGGTTCTCAAAAAGTTTCTAATTATGGGATTGTTAAGACCGTGTGATGTCCATGCATGCAAGACCGCGCATGTCCTTTTACTAACGCTCCTCATGAAATGTGCAACGCAGTCCGGATCCATTGCAGAAGTTCCTGAAATCTATGTGGTATCTTCTTAAAGGCATGGAGAAATATATGATTTTCCTTACGTGAAATGCATGCGCCTTGTATACTGTAACTGCTAAACGCTGATGCAATGTCATATTAGGATGGAAATTATTCGGGAATTTGGAAAGATTTTTAAAACCAAAATATACACACTCTTCGGGCACAACAAATGAAGACAATGTGATTTCCTACCAAATGAGCAAAAGGAAACATATTTTTGTGCATAATTTCCATAAAATACATTTGAGTTTATAAGACCATCGAAAATAAATAGGAGAAATGCATGCCACTTAAGTAGTCATTCTTTACCGTGTGTAGTTTATGCAGGAGACCAAAAAGTAGTGCATTCCAAAGCCGACATCCTGACGAGTCCGAAATATTATAGGGCTATGCTGCATGAGAGTCAGTATAAGAACCACACTTAAGTAATCGTTCCTAATCGGAAACTCATTCCAGAATTTGGGCCAACATTTCATGAGATCGGTCACGCACTGTAAGACCCATTGTCTACAATGTGTTACAATGCGCTACAGGTGTGCATATAGGCTAATAAATGTAGAGGATCATGTGTGTCGACAGCTTGCTATCATCGGTACATGCCCAGAAGGGTTATAAAAATTATTTGCTATACCTAATATTGCGGCGGTGAACCCTCAGACTCTCCATGACGATGAGACGTCTATTTCCCAGCCTATGATGTTCAGGCTTTTTTATGTCCACAAATGGCACAACTCAATCCTTATTGGTTGTGTTATTCAGTAAGCACAGGAAAGTCTTTTTGATATATCATGACGGGCACAATGATTTCTCTTGGGGAAACCTAGTAACAAACAGTTTGCTAAACATGCGGAGTATAAAAAAGCTCACTTTTATTTCAATTCTGGTGGTAATAGAGGTCTGTCTGAAGGCCAAGGTTCTTGAGACCTTCAACTGTCAATAAGAGGGAGGGGGCGTTAATCCATGCCTACAAGCGTAATAAATGTTTCCTCTGTGCATCCTCGTAGAGAATTTGGTACAATTTATGTGACCTGAAAACGCTGCTGACGAAATTCGCATTATCAAAGTACGGGCACTTTCCTGAGTGGGACTGCGCACTCGTGGCGCCACGAGTAATTGAAAAGAGGTTAGTCGAACCTGCAGTAGACATGTTTTGGCCTAGTCCCTTATCCTAACCCCAATCCCCACATATTAATCCCTAACCCCATGCCGCCACCTATAACCCCAAACCATAGCCCTGACAACTCGTTGATAGTCGCCACGACCGCCATGCCTGTACCGCATATTCCAGGTTCGGCCGCACAAATGTCCCGCATAATCTGCCAAATGCATCTTTATTCAAGTGTATAAACGTTCTGCGTATCGCGCTCATAACGGAAATTGCCCATGCAGCGACTTTAGAACACTGCGTGTTGACGTTTAGATCGTCTTTAATGAATACACCGAGATCTTTTTGTACATCTACGGTTATGAGTGGTTGATTGTCCAGAAGATACTGTCGTGGGGGTGCATTTGTTCGTCGCCTCGCCGATACTGCATTACTGCACATTTTTGACGTTGAATTTCATGCACCATTTCTCGCTCCATGCGTGCAAATTCTCCACGTCCTCCTGTAGTATCATGACGTCATCTTCATCTTTTATCACTCTCCAAAGTTTAAGATGGTCTGCAAAGAGCGCTATTTCCGATTTCACTTCCCCCACTAGGTCATTTACATAGATAATGAATAGGAGCGGCCCAACAACTGAACCCTGTGGGACTCCACTCGTAACATGTGCCCATTCTGAGCAGTAGCCGCCCGCAGTGACTTTTTGTCGCCGTCCGTTAAGGAAATCTTAAATCCAGTTCAGAAGGTGTCCTCTTATCCCTACTTCTGACAACTTTTGAATAAGGCGCTCATGTGGGACGCAATCGAACGCCTTGCTGAAGTCAAAGTAAATGACATCAACTGGATGTCCTTCATCCATGGCCTTTGACCAGCGTTCGAGTGACGAACGCAGGTTTGTGAGGCTTGACCTCTTTTCGCAGAAGCCATGTTGAACTGAGGCGATGTGACCGCGAAAAGTATCGAGTGATTTAATAGATTTTTAAACTAATTTTTCCATCAGTTTGCAGAAAATGCATGTCAAAATAACCGGCCGGTAGTTCGTGGGACATAGCCGTGATTCTCCCTTGTGGATAGGTACGACGTTTGCCAACATCCATGTGCCAGGTAGTTCGCCAGCTTCCAGCGACTTTTGGAAGATTATAGAAAGTGGCTCTGCTAATTCTTCGGCTAGCTGACGCAAGAGTACACCTGGGATATCATCTGGTCCAGGTGACTTGGCTGGATCCAGCTTATTTAGTTCTGCCAAACCTAACTGCGGAGTAAAAAAATACTGTGCTTATAAGTGGTTGGTTGGCGGGCAGTGGAAGAGAACAGGACTGGAGGGGTGGTTCCCTGGTGTGGACAATTTGGAAAACATCGCAAAGAAACTCGGCTTTTTTAAAGATTAGTTTACTATGTTGATAAACCAACATTCTGATTGTTTTCGTTGTACGAATTGCAGTATGAAGTTTTTGCCAGAAATTAAAACCCATACCTTAGGTTAAGGTGCGCGAAGAAGTTTTTTCTCGATTCACACGACCGAGCGCCTGTCGAAATTACTAATGGCCGTAACCTCGAGAAGACAGAGCTTATTTACGATGCAAATGGATTTTACTGAGCTGGGTTTACGCAGCACTGACCCAGATATTTTTCTGCAGAACCAGATCGTTTTAACGACAGGATGGGAGAGTCTTGTCCTGACATTCACACGGAAGGTTCATCAAGTAGTCGTCGAAAATAGTTTCAAAAGATACCCTAACAGGTGACTTTTAAAAGCCCGGACACAACTGTCTTGTGTTTTTAGTGGGTGTATAATGCTATTATGATAGGTCCAGTTATTCATATAGTCCCTCAACGTTCAGATATTTTTTGATTTCCAAATGGCAGGGCAAAATCTTTTCAGAGACTCGTAACCGGATTTGGGTAATAGTGGTGTTGCAGGTGGTGTGTTAATTGCTTGATGGCCGACATTCGCGTCGTTAGTTGCTGCAATTTCCTCACGTGCGTTGGATGTTGGTGTGATAATAGCTTGACCATCTGACGCATCGATCCTGGTGTTGGGAGAGCAGGAACCCGAAACGTCAGGCTAATAATACCCTTGTTCTGGCGATCGTGTCTTCTTCTTCAAGACTTCTTCCTGGGACTCGTCTCTTCGCTTCTATTGGCAATGTATTTGGGCGGGAAGCGCTCCGATCGGCCCGGCGATGGGAAATCTTCGCCATTCGGGAGGCCTCAACGTATTCGCAGATCCGGTTTCTTTACAGATGTCTCGACAATAACGTGTTACCGAAATGTGTTTCATACAAGCCACCGGTTAACATGGATTTGGCGAGACGAGCAGTATTTCAGCACAACAGAAGGATGATCCGATTGCTCCTCCAAGATTGCCACGCGAGACTTCGTAAGTGCCGTCAAAGGATTGACCAAGAAATGACCAGATGCTGTGGGTTCATGGACGAGATTGATACAAATCTGCTCCTGTAGAGGGGTGACTGAACACGCCCGCGAACAGAGAATGCTACGCGACGCAGCACTGGAGAACAAATTCCGAAAGCTGCCCAATCAAACGTCGCCCAGAAACGACAAACTGGTGCACAACCTGTCGTCAAAGGAGCTGACGAAGGATCAGATGCCTTTTTTTTACATCACGAAGCTTCATTTAACACGGCTGACGCCAAACCTGTTAACATGATTGTAGCAGCGGAATCAATCCTTTGTCAAACAGAGGCAACGGAGGAGACTAAGAACCTCATCCGACACCAAGTGTCGTCTCTCCTGATGGCCCACAGGCCGCGGGAAGTGCTTTCCAAGGTCGAACGTGATGCGCTTAGAGAACTCAAGGCCGACAAAGACCTGGTCATCGTGCCAGCGGACAAAGGACACGCCACAGTTGTACTGGACAGGACAGACTACCTTCAAAAAGCCTAAGGTTTACTGGAGGACCAACAGTTCTATGTCTCATCTGCAAAGAATCCTTTGAAAACGCTGACACGCGAAATTAACGCTACGTTGTTGGCCTTGGAGAACTCAGGTGCAATAACACCGACCGACAGACGCATGGCGAGACCCCAAGATACGGCTTTGGCCCGATTCTATGGCCTCCCTAAGGTGCCCAAAGACGGCGCTCCTCTCCGACCCATCGCGTCGCTCAAAGGGACTCCAACGTACGGACTGGCGAAGTGGCTGTTCCGGCGTCTCAAGTTCCTGACCGCTGAGTCAGACACCACGGTCTCTTCGTCAGCACAATTTCTGGAGAAACTCAAAGGGGTAAGCATCCATCCAAATGAGGTCATGGTATCTTTTGATGTTACATCCTTTCTTACTTCTATTCCCCAGGACCTGGCGACTGAAACAATCGAGCTGCTTCTACAAAGCAAATACGATGAAACGGAGAATCGTCTTGGACACGTCCAAATCCTTCAGCTCCTGAAGCTCTGTCTCAGTACGTACTTCACGTTCGACGGGACAATCTACGAGCGGGTGAAGGGCAAACCAATGGGTTCGCCGATTTCGGGATTCATCGCCGAGGTGGTCCTGCAACGGTTAGAGTTGCTGGTCTTCCAACGCCACAAACCGAAGTTCTGGGCCCGGTATGTGGATGATTCCTTCGTCTTGATCGAAAGGGATCAGTTGCTGCCATTCCAAGAACATCTCCATGCTGTCCTCCCGGACATTCAATTCACGATGGAGGAGGAAGACCACCCAATCAACCACAAACGCAGTTGTGTAAGGATGCTCTATCGGCGTGTTGAAACGCACAGCAGTGAGCCGGAAGACAATATTGCTGAACTGCAATACCTCCGACGGGTATTCAAAGCCAATGGCTACCCGCGCAATTTCGTCAACAGGTGAGTACGCAAAAGGGGCAAAAGGCCTAACCGCACGGACACCAAATCTTGGCGGGCGCTTCCGTATGTCAAGAACGTTTTGGAAGCTGTCAGCCGCCTTCTCACACCACTTGGGGTTGGAGTGGCACACAGACCAGAGGCAACTATCAGGCGTTAGGTAACGAAACCGAAAGACCCAGCACCACGGCAAGAAACGACGGGAGTCCCTTATCGGATCTGGTGCAGTTGCAGACAAAGCAACTACGTCGGAGAAATCGGAAGACAGCTCCGAACGCGAATTTCCGAACACGCTGTAACGGTACGGCGAAATGACGCCAGCTCTCAAGTTGCGGCTCATTCGACGAGACCCGCCCACACATTCAAATTCGACGAGGCCGAAATTCTCGCAAGAGGTGACAACTGCGTGAGCCGGGAGCTACTGGAATCATGGTTCACTGGCCTCCAGTCCATTAACAAGTGCAATGAACTTCCCCTTCCATATTGGGTACTGAGACTTCGCCTGGACGGAGTAATTAGCCACGCTGGGAGCGCACAAGTGAGCACTTTTTCCAACGCCAGGGTCGGTGGATCAGATGGTCGAGCAATCATCACACCAGCATCCAACGCACGTGAGGAAATTGCAGCAACTAACGACGCGAATATCGGCCATCAAGCAATTAACACACCACGTGCAACGATCCGGGATGAAGGGGGAGCAGTGAATGTTCACAGGAATGTGGTAGCATGGTGACTGCATCCTATAAATACTGCAGCCTCTGGTGCATGAATCACCCGTATCTGCTGTCATCTCTGATGATGGGTTCGATCAGGAACCCGAAACGTCAGGCTCATAAAGCTCTTATCCCAGCGATCGTGTCTCCTTCATCAACTTTAGGTTACTCTGTTGATCACCCAACATTATGATGTTTTTCGTTGAACGAATTGCAGTATGAAGTTTTTGCCAGAAATTAAAACCCTACCTTAGGTTAAGGTGCGCGAAGAAGTTTTTTCTCGATTCATACGACCGAGCGCCTGTCGAAATTACTAATGGCCGTAACCTCGAGAAGACAGAGCTTATTTACGATGCAAATGGATTTTACTGAGCTGGGTTTACGCAGCACTGACCCAGATATTTTTCTGCAGAACCAGCTCGTTTTAATGACAGGATCGGAGAGTCTTGTCCTGACATTCACACGGAAGGTTAATCAAGTAGTCGTCGAAAATAGTTTCAAAAGATACCCTAACAGGTGTATCTCTGAGGATGGGTTCGAGCAGGAACCGGAAACGTCGTTCTCATAAAGCTCTTATCCCAGCGATTGTGTCTCCTTCTTCTTCACGTCTCTCGTATGTCATAAACAGGCAGATTGGTTTGCAGACCATGAACGGGCTTCGTGAATTAGGCTTGCTGAAACCTGATTTCTAATCTTGAAGTTGGCAACATTTACATTTGGGTTTTATGACGGCGCGACAGATAAAAGTGCGTTAGTGAAGACGGCTGATGAAAAATTCACTGAATTTTCCTGTTTAGTATACTATACTAGTATAATCCTGAGATAGGTCTAAGGGATGAAAAATCGGACGAAGTTGAACAAACATCCTCTGTCTCGTCTCACCTTTGTAACCTTCGTTTTCTCCTGACATGTCTTTTAAAACATTCTGCTTCCTATACGAAGAACTCACAGAGCTCTGCTATAAAGACTAGGTTGCAAATGACCTAGATTCCTCAGTAAGTCTGTTAACATTACCTTAATAAGCCTCTCTGAAACAGAATACAACAATAACAAGAATAATCATGGAGCCCTCGGTTAGATCGGCATTGCCATAAAAATGTTTGCTTAAGTCTGCTACTAAAACTCCGAAAGACAGAATAGACCATGATATAAAACCATTCCAGCGATATCTCAAATCCCTCTTAAAATGAAATGAGAACATCGCCGTCCTAAAGAACTTCAGGATCTGCCAAATAAAAGAACTCGGAGGAAGCGTCGATTTAACCGTGACCGCAATGCGGAGTGCGGATAAAGCGCAGCTTCTGCCAAGCGCGAAACCAGCATTCCAAAACCTCTCCCAAACAGTTTTTCAGCAAGATGTATCGCCCCTAGAACGGAGAATTGGAAAGAACTCAAGGCAGAACCCCTCTGGAGATCCGGCCTGGACGATGTCAATCCCAAACTACTTACGAAGAAGTTATTCATGTACAAAGGTTATGTCTCTGGAGAAAGCCCACAATTCTCACAACTTAGGCGCGATGAACATCATTTCGCCTCAGTCTGCACCAGCAGGGTTTTGCATCAAATCCGACGGAATTGTTAGACGCTTATGTCGCAGAGCTAATTAGGTCAAGGCGACTTCTGTCCAGAATATCATCATCATTTCGGACACAGACCAGCTCATGCAGTCGGTTTTAGAAAGACGTCCGGGTGTCGTTTCCATAACAGAAACATTGCTCCAAGCCGAAATAATGGATGCCAAGATTTCGATGGAAGGATGTCAATCCTCTAGCCGAGACTGTCGGAATAGACTGGGTGGTTGGATAGTCGTAAACGTGATGTCAGAACTTTTGACAGATGAACGCACACACCCTCTTCACCTAGTATATGAATCCATTCGCATAAACATAAATAGGAGTAAGTCACAAAACCCGGGATTCTTGACGGTTTACAGATAACCAAACCAGCCGAATGCCGCAGACGAGTTAGTCCTGGAAGTGACTGGACAGTAAGAGGTTCTTATTGCTGGGGGTTTTAACGAAGCCGCAATAGGTTCGGAAAAGTTGGTCAATGACAGCGCGTTTAGCTGAAAGCTGATGGACCTCACATTCGACCTTCCCCTTGCACAGAATGTAAAGTTCTCACGAGTTTTGGATAGATCCAAAGGCCAGTTGTCTGGGTCTGGTGCTCACGAAAATTTTCTCTAGCATTGATGAAGCGTATTTCAATGCACCTCTCGAGAAGAGTGGCCACACCACTCTCTTGTGGGATTAACCATTAAATTTTCAGAACCAGCAGATGGTGAAAGGCCAGCGAAGTGTAAGGAAAAGAGAATTCAGAATTATGGGGAATAGGTTTGCGTCCGAGAACTGGAACTTTTTGCTCAAGAGTGATCCAGAGGAAAACTGCAGACTATTTAAAAAGACCCCACTGAATATGATTCAGGGCCTTTGTCCGGTTAGTTTATCAAAACGACCAATATTTCTGCCTGGTTAACTCCATTCAAGCATAGAGTTAAGGAATAAAAGTAGAAAATGGAAGAAATTCAGGAAAACTGGCTCACATTGACATTTCAAAAAATTTCGTCGTCAGCGAATTGCTGTTGTAACTCTGATCTGCCTGGTTCAAGAGGAATATTAATACATTATAATTCAATCACTCGAAGTTTTAATTCTATTATGTCGAGAGTCGGCTAAACAGCAAAGACCCAATCGGAGTACTTAGGTATGATAATGATGTAGAATTCGTTGAAAATTTTGAGAAATCTGAAAGCTTGGGCCATTCCTTTGCTTCTGTTTTCACTAGGGAGATAAACTTTCGGTTTCACAAACGCCAGACTACCGTTGCAAACGCCGAGCGAGTGATTAAATCTATTTTCTTCCCAGCAACTATCGTAAGAAAGTTTCAGTCTTAAAAAATCTAAGTCATGGGGCCTGGAAAATATCCCAGTCGAGTTCACGGGGAACTTGGAAAACGATTTATTCAAGCCACTGATGCATATTTTTTACTCGTTATTTGAATTAGGGAGACTGCCATCCCAATGGAATGTAGCAAGTATCTAGGCGATACATAAGGATAGGGCTCGAATTATCGTGAATAATTACCGTCCCGTTCGTCCAACATCTTATATGTTGATAGAGGGGCGCTAACCGATCGTTCTCACGGAACTCACTCGTCCCGTTTTGCCTTACGGGTCCTCACTCGAGCCCATCCAGTAGTCACACAGCGGCGCACAGCATAGGCAGAGTGCTAACGGGTTGCGGGATCGAAATCTAGCTGTTCCACACTTCGGGGTTCATAATGACTGTTTGAAGACAGCCCGAAATGGCCATTCCAGTCTCCCTTGTCTTTGTCGGTAACATCATTCCGCCTTTGTCGTGCGCCGCTGTGCGACCGTCAGTTTGGCTGGAGAGAGAGAGCCCGTAAGGCAAAATGGTATGAGTGAGTTCCGTGAGAACCATCTCTGAGCGCTCCTCTACCATTGTACATTTCCGATCGCAACCGGCAGGACAACTAGCCCGTGGCCCAGTATTTAGAGGCGTTAGACTTCTAACTAACAGGTTGCGTGATCGAGGCCCTAGGTGTTCTACACTTCAAGGTTGGGTATGATTGACTGACGACGGCTAACTAGCTAGAACTGGCCATTCCTATCTCCCCTATCTTTGTCGGTAATAACATCCCATATTTCCCAAGTAATTGAAATCAGATTTAATAAATCGATAATGAAATTCCTCGAGGTCGACCACCTATTGTCAGTGCAGAACGCGGCTTCAGACAAAACCATTTCTGCCTTTCCACTTTTCTGCTCTCGACTGGGCTGTAGACTCGTGCACTGAAGTAGGATGGTAGGGTTGATGCCAAGAAGAAGACTTTCGTCGATGGTCCATACAGAGGTCTAGTTCACTAACATTCTGAAACCGGGATAAGAGGTGAATTGCTGACGTGGGTCAAACAGTTTTTTACGGGCAGATCGCAAACCGCATGCACTGGTACTCCGAAGTCAACCCCAAATTCCGTTTTAAGTGGTGTCCACCCAGGGCTCAGTTATTGGGTTCCTACTCTTCTTAGTATGTATCAGTGACTGTGCCGACAATCTATGCTGCGGTGCCTCGTGTTTCCTTACGTTGTCAGACTCTGGCGAGCCATCAGGTCTGACGCATTTAGTAACGCACCTAAAGATATTCTTAACCGATTTAGCGGCTGGTCTGTTTGATGACTCCGAAATTTTAGAGTTGGTATGTGTGTGACCCTAAGGCTCCGTGCCAGTGGGGTCCATAATGAAGATCATTCTTTTTGATACCTTCTTCACGGGCGAGCCCCTTCATATGTTTGCAAACAGAAGAACCATGGCGTTCTGATGATCTTCTCACTTAACCCATCGGTGCAATGTTTGAATGCAGTTAAACGAGCGATATAGGCTTTGTTCGCGCCAAAGCGAGCGTTTGTCAAAATTGATCGGAAACATTTCGGCAAGACCTACAAGGCTGTCGTTCGGTCTTACTTAGAGTATGTTACGTGTGTCTGGCATCCGTAGCTCAAGAAGTAATATCAACTGCTGAAACGAGTACAGGTGAGGGCCATGAAGATGCTAAAGAATCATGGCAATCAGTTATTCAACATTAAACTGACTGAACTTCATTTTTTCCGCTCAATTACAGGCAGCTATGGGATGACCTTATTTATACCTTGCAGCTTGTTGGGGGCCGCGAGTATGTTCTATAACTTCTTTGAAGTTGCTGGCACGTAGCATCTGCATAATAACACGTTTTAACTGTAGAGGAAATGGTTTTCTTACGACTGCCAAATGAAGTTGTTGGAACCTGGAACTGACTCCTTGCTGCGGTGGTACTTTCAGACACTGTTGAGACGTTTAAATGCGGACTTGACACCCATGTCCTGAGAACCTACTTTAGATGATTTAACAGACAGGTTCATTCACGAGCTGCTAACCGAAATTCTGATGCACGTTTTCGACTCTAAAAAATTACATAAGTAGAACTGCGATATTAGCCATCATGTAGCATAAGCCCACAATAACTCAGCCACTTCAGGATGTCAGCTTTCGAACTGCTTCTATTTATAAGGTTTTTTCAAACCGTGAAATGCTCGTACATAAACCATCATGCTTCCGCAATTATTAATGCTGCTTGCGAAGTTTGCAATATGCTTGAAACCCACTGCTGAATTTTATAAACCCCACATAGTTTCCCCCCTAGATAGTGCGGAAATATATAATTTTCCCTCTACGCAAAACATGTAAGTAGGGTTGCGAGATTAACCATCATGTAGCATAATCCCATAATAACTCAGCTGTTTCAGGATGTCGGCTTGTGAACGAACTTCTTTTCGGCCGCCATTAAAAACTAAATTCCGTACAAATTACTGTTTAAGTAGTATGGATTTTTCTCATTGATTTTCGATCATCTTATGGATTCTGATATATTTCATAAAAAATATGCATAAAAAATATTTGCTCTTTGACTCATTTGGTAGAAGATTACGTCTTCTTCAATTTTTTTATTGTAAAGAAGCGTATAATTCAGTTTTTAAAAAGTTTCCAACTATTAGGTATTTTAAACCGTGAAATGCTTGTCCATGAATTATCATGCTTCTGCAATTACCAATGTTAATTGTAAAGTTTACAATATGGCTCAAACCCACTGCTGAATTTTATAAACCCCATGTAATTTCCCCCCTAGACCGTGTAGAAATACATAATTTTCCCTAGACGGAAAACATGGAGTTTGAAGTAAGTACGCCCCAAATGCGAGTGTAACGGCAGGTCGGGCTCAAAATCATTTTGGAATCGGAAAAGCTTTTAAAAACTGAATTATACGCTTACTTAAAATTTACAGTTGGAAGACAAAGGAAGTTCATTCAAATACCGGGATCCATTAGTAGCTGAATTATTATGGGATTACGCTGTGAGTGCTTAGTATAATAACACTACTAAGCAATCTTTTCGAGTCGAAAACTCATTTCAGAATTTCGATTAACATTTTATGAATTAACATACCCACTGTATACTTGTGTCAGTAATAGCATTATGTGCCCGGCTCACAGTTGTTGGGGAGTTCGCACAATCTAGGATTACTGCTGTAAAAATTAACGTTATTGCCCCTTGAGAAATCTCAAAATCCAGTGACCTATTCACAAAACGAAGAAGCTTAAAGTGACAGCCTTTTCACAGTCGTCTCCTATCTCTCCCTATTGATAATCTATCTGTGGTCGTTACATATACTGATCCTACTAAAGCCTCTGGTAAAGTGCCACACAGACACTCTCATTAAAACTTGGGGTTTTAGGAATTCCAATCCCCCTTATTGAATTACAGTGAGCGACCGATCTCATGAAATATTGGCTGAAAATTTCGTAATGCGTTTTCGATAAGGAAGGATTACTTAGGTAAGGCTGTACTACTAATTACCTTGCGGCATACTCCTATAATATTTATCATTCGGCAGGATGACAGCTTTGGAATACACTGCTTTTCAAACGACAGTGGAAACCGTGCTTGGAGAAAAAGACTACTTAAATAGCATGCATTTTACCCATTGATTTTGGATGGTCTTGAAAATGCAAATATATTTTTTAGAAATCAAAAAATTATGCCTTCTTTCATTCGCGTGATAGAGAATCACGTCATCTTTATATTTTATACGCGAAAAAGGAGTATAATTTGGTTTTAAAGAAGTTTTTGATTATGCGATTTTTTAAGACAGCTTACTGTCCACTCATATATCATCGCACTTGTCCGTTTACCACGTCTTCTAATGAAATAAATTAATTGACTCCATATGCATCTTTTAGACCGAAATCGATTAGCGATAATGCAAGGACTGATCAGGTTCCACATTATTCGGCAATCAGAAAACTTTCTCAAGACCGAATTATACTCCTTCTTCGAGTATAAAATATAAAGATGACGCGCTTCTGTTTTGCACGAATAAAAGAAGGCATATTTTTGTGGTTTATAAAAAATATATTTGAATTTGCAAGACTACCTAAAATCAATGCGTAAAATGCATGCTATTTAAGTAGTCTTTTTCTCCAAGCACGGTTTCCACTGTCGTTTGAAAAGCAGTGTATTCCAAAGCTGTCATCCTGCCGAATGATAAATATTATAGGATTATGCCGCAAGGCAATCAGTAGTACAGCCTTACCTAAGTAATCCTTCCTTATCGAAAACGCATTACGAAATTTTCAGCCAATATTTCATGAGATCGGTCACACACTGTAACTGGGTCATACCTATCGGAATGGAAATAGCAATTCACTAAAGTATTAATAAGAACGAATGACGGATTCCTCTAAGATGCCGTGTTAGGTCCACTTATGTTTTGTTTTGCATTAATTATGTTCCATCCGCAGACAAACACGCTCAGTTTTTTACATATTCTGATGATTTTAAAAGCCGCCTGCCCCTTCAGCCTGGAGTCCAACGTAGTTAGAGAAATGGGCCCACTCAAAATGCCTCCATACGTGTATCGGACCTTAAAGACTGTCTTAGTTAGGGATTTTTTACGTGACTTTTTACGTAATTGGATGTTCCACCATTAAGCACTTGGGTTTAAACTAAGAAAGCAAAACGGCCAAAAATGCTGAAATTTGCGGCCTTATTTCAAACAACTTTTTAATCATTAAATTAACATCAAAATTCGTTGTATCCTTATCCTTCCATTCTCAAATATTTCTGTCCATACTCTGGTTTTATGAGCGAATTTTGTGCCTCTAAAATCGAAAATGTCTAGAGATATTTATCAAAAAACTGTTACAGTACACACATCAAAATGTTCCTCACGTAAACAAATTCTGATTGTCTAACCTACATTTTTGTATGAGGTCGGAGATTAGATGTTGTTTTCTGTAACTTTTTACGTTAATATTAGTACAAATCTTCCTCTGATTTCAGCTGTCACACATATTAACCGTCTATATGACATTCGTAATTCCTCCTCGATTCTATCCCCCCGCATTCTCTATTCTTCGCTCACAGTCGTACCTCCACTTGGCATAATCTTCCAAGTTTCATTGGACTATAAAATAATTTTTCTGCTTTTAAGGGACCACTGCGCCATTATAGAAATACTGACTCGACCAACTTTTCATATCTTTCGTCCTTCCTTAGCAATCATCCCCATGGCTTAGATAAAGAGTCATCGGAACCTCAGGTAATCGTCTCCATTCTTATTTGTCCGCCTACATTTTCGCCTCTTTGAGTGGCTTTGTCCCTTGTGATTTGTCATCGTAAGTTTTGATTTTCTCACACAAGGTGTCGAGGCCTTCATCGGGCTCGATGTTTTCCCCAATCCATCTCTAGGGTACGCAGTCAGGGTTCTTGTGGCGCACACGTTCTAAATCCCCTTAGTTTCAGCCGCCGTTCACCCTGATCAGTATCTCGTTCCGGACACTGTGATGCCGTCCTCCCACCCCACAGTCGGTCCCCTCTTAGGTCTGCCACAACCTACCATCCCTGCACACTGTAATGACGCTTCGCAATTTCTGGCTATGGACCCAGGGTGGAACTAGCTGCCACCGCGAATTCCCATGTCAACAGAGTCAAGAACCGAGCTGAGGAAGCCTCTAATTCATGGGGGTCAAGCTCTCCACAGAGCCCTCTGATGGGAGGTATTGTTGATAGATCCCAGTGTGCAACTATTCACGATGCCTTAACAGGATCCGCGGACGAACTTCACGAAGACATAAATACCAATATGGCAGCCCCTTCCTCTTCTCCAGTCCATTTCGACGAGGCAATAGGGCCAGCCAACGACGTCCGAATCGCAGAAAACAGAGGAATGCTTAACAAGGGCCACTGTGTCATAATTCAGGGCCTCGCAGAGTCCTCCGCCAGTTCCCCCAGGGAACGAATCGCTGCTGACTTAGAGCAATTCCAGAAACTCCTCAATGAAATGCTGCAACCAACAGAAGATGTCACAGTCCTAAAGGCGTTTCGTCTTGGTAGCCGTACAAATGCCGCTCCGAAGACGCGACCACGACCCCTAAAAATCGTCCTTGGTAGCAATGAGGAGGCGAAACTAATACTTTCCAGGCGTTTTCGATTGAAGCATTCCCATAAAGGAGTGTTTTTTCAGCCGGACTACTCACCTGCCGAGAGAATGAAACGCCGCGAACTTGTCCTAAAATTGAGACCACGGCAAACCAACGGAGAGAAAAACTTGACAATCTACAAAGACCGGATTGTCAAACGACATTCCGCTCCCCTCTGGATCAAGCCGATCCGAATGACTGCACAGCTACCCCAGTAGCCCGTGTCGGGTTTGAAAACACATCTCACATGAACTCGAAACTCATATTCATGTATACCAACGCGCAAAGTGTACTTTCTAAACTGGACGAACTCCGTATCCATACCTACGACCTCCATCCAGATGTTATCTCAATAACAGAAACATGGTTGTCCGAACAGGTTGAGGATAGAGAGCTCATGCTCCCTGGATTTCAACTGTTCCGCCGAGACAGAGAAAACAGAAGGGGTGGAGGCATAATAACATTTGTTAAGAACGGCTTGCACGCTTCAGAAAAAACTGCCCAACTGACTTGTAGTACCGAAGCATTATGGCTGACCATAAGGGCACCGGGCTCTCAAAGTCTCGATATCTTGACAGTATATCGCCCCCCGAGAAATGACCCTGACGCTGATGCCCAACTGCTGGAGGAGCTCAGATTATTTTCAACGCGGCCGACCACTCTCATCGTTGGAGATTTTAATGCACCTCACATCGACTGGAGCTCGGCCTCAGCCGACTGCTCTGAAGCAGCATTTGACCAGCAGCTACTGCGTACCTCCGACAACCTGCTTCTCACACAACACGTAATGTTTCCAACTAGAGTTCGAGAGGGCCAACAGATGAACTGCCTCGATCTTGTGTTCACCAAGTCGTCTGACAACATCGACGTTGTGAATTGCCTCCCCCCGTTGGGTCAGAGTGACCATGTAGTTCTCATGTGGGAATACACGTTATTCTCCCTTCCTGCACAACCGCTCGATTCCCGACCTAATATTTGGCGCGGCGATTTCGAACAGATGAAAAAGGATCTTAGTCCTATCGACTGGGCATCCACTCTCTCCGGCGATGTCGAAGAGGCTTGGTGTCAGTTCAAAGAGTTAGTCCACAACCTCATCTCCAACCACTGCCCAATCATGCGCAAAAGACTAACAAATAGACCTCGCTGGTTGACTCCGTCCTTAAAGAAGGAAGTTAACAAGAAGAGGAAGCTATGGAAAATATCGCTGACGGATCGCACGCCAGAATCCCTAAGCAGTTATAAGTTACAGAGAAATCGGGTCAAAATTCTCATCGCCAGAGATAGGAAAGCTTTAGAAAAGAATCTTTTGAACCGTGCCATGATTAATCCAAAAATCATTTACAGCTACATAAGACAGAGCACACGGAACAAAGATCCTGTCCCACTACTGCGAACGGCTGAGGGTATGGAAATCTCCGATGACAAGGATAAGGCTGAACATCTCTCTTAGTTCTTCCGGTCAGTCGTTACAAGTGAACCTGCTTTTTCCTCACCCGCTTATGAAGACGATGAAACGCCTACCCTCGAAGCCGTCTTCTTCACCGAAACAATTGTTCGGAATGAGTTACTAAACCTAAAAGAATCGACCTCCCCAGGCCCTGATGCAATCCCGGCCAAGCTGCTGAAGGAACTAGCTTCCGAAATGTCCAAGCCGTTAGCCTTGATCTTTCAAACGTCATTTGTTACTGGATGCCTGCCCTCTGACTGGAAGTCCGCTACCATCACTACGCTTTTTAAGGGTGGAAGTCGTGCGTCTGCGAATAACTACAGGCCAGTGAGTCTTACCTCCATCTGTTGCAAAATCATGGAGAAGATCATTAAGAAGGCCTTGGTGCAGTTCCTCGAGCACCACCATCTCCTTTCTGATGCCCAACACGGCTTTCGAAGTGGTAGGTCCTGCCTCACGAATCTGCTCTTTACGCTCGAACGATGGACCAAAGCACGTGATGAAGGCAAGGTGGTGCACGCCATCTACATCGACTTCAAAAAGGCTTTCGACAGCGTTCCTCATCAACGTCTCTTGTACAAACTGCGTAACGCTGGAATTCGTGGACGCCTTCTTGTATGGATCCAGAGCTTTTTGGCTGGACGGTCCCAGAGAGTGCAGGTCGGGCGTCAGCAGTCCTCAGATGTAAGCGTGGTGAGTGGCGTCCCACAGGACTCAGTCTTAGGTCCCACGTTATTTCTCGTTTTCATAAATGACTGCGTCAAGGACCTAGACTGTGATGCCATCCTGTTTGCCGACGACATAAAATTGTGGAAAGTTAGTCACGATGCGGCAGACGCAGACCACCTGCAAGCAAACTTGAACAGGCTCGAAGACTGGTCGAAGCGCTGGCTTATGCCCTTCAATATAAGCAAGTGTAACTTTCTTCAACTCGGCGGCTTCAGAGCCCCCAGCCCCAGGACCTACTTTCTACACGGCACACCACTGCAACAGGTTGACAGTCAGAAGGACCTGGGTGTATGGATTACATCTTCACTCAAACCAACACTGCACTGCGCGAAGGCGGCTAAATCGGCTACGGCCACAGTGCAACTCATTAGGCGAGCATTTATGGGATTTGACCCTGACTGCTTTTCCAAAATATTTGGCACCTTCGTGCGACCTCATCTAGAATACGCCATACAGGCGTGGAGACCCTGGACTGCCAAGGATTATACCGTCTTGGAGAAGGTCCAGAGACGGGCGACCAAAATGACACAAGGTCTGGGAGCACTGCCCTATGAAACCAGACTGTCAATCCTCAACCTGTTTCCTCTTTCCTACAGGCAATTACGTGGTGACCTTATACTAACATTTCGCATCATCAACGGCCTGGACTGTTGTTTAGATCCCACTGATTATTTCACCCAATCTAACACGCCCACTTTGCGCGGTCATCCCCTAAAACTACGCGCAGGGAAATCAAGAACCAATGGACGAAAGTCCTTTTTCAGTAACAGAGTGGTTGCAGCCTGGAATGCCCTACCTACCGATGTTGTAACCTCCTCCTGTGTGAACTCCTTCAAGTGTAGACTTGACGTGCATCAAGCTTCCCAAATACCACCCCCACATCCACTCACATAACCCGGTACCATCTTATACTTGTTTATACTACTTGTAATTAGTAAGTAACCATTAATGATTACTCTTTTTCGACTAGCTGCCAGCTGTCCGCGAGTATGTACAAAATCCCTTTTTCACCTTCCCATTTATCAATGTTTTTCTCCGACGACTTGTAAACAAGAGGGAGTTCAAAGGCGCTTGCCTATATTTCCCTTAATAAACTGATACTGATACTGATACTGTCTGTAGCATAGCACACCGTGTCCCAGATAAACCTGCATTACGCCTCCATTTCCATTAGCGAAGCAGTTTTTCTTCTGAAAGTTCCACTTGAAATTATATGTTCTATGAACTCCGTTCGCGCTTTAAATTCAAGAGTAATTTTCACCCTTTTACCTACAACATCCAAATGAGATGTTGTGGATATTTCTGCCATAAGTATCGTGTGCGAAAAGTTAATCGCCAACGGCCGCCAGAACACTTTCCATTGTACAATTTGCTTCTCATGCAAAACTTAGATTCGACATTATTCTTCATATTTGGTCGCTTAAATCAGTGTTAATTGTACCTTGATATTGCGTTATTATTTTCAATTACAAACTTCTGTCTTTTCATTCCAAAGTTATTTGAGTTTTCAGGGTGTGTGGGGTGCTGTAGGCGCGGATTTTAAATATGCGGTCATACCAGGTTAATCGATGCTTTTGGATGAATAATATACAAGAGTACGCTGGCGAGTATATTTTACCGCACATACCCTGCCCACAGTTACCATAGAAGATGATTTGGCCTAGGCGACACCAGGTGAGCCTGGTTGAGCCGGCACGACCATGATGTCAGAAACTAACTTTTATAATTATAATAATAGTGTATTTTAGGGTAATAGGCAACGCCCTTGATGACCTTATTGAAAACGATAATACAATATAAATGTTGAATGTACACCTTACTCAAACTTTGTCAGTAACATATTTGTTTACGGAAAACGTTTCTACAGTGTGGGACTGCGAAGTGTGCGGCAGGCGGTCTTCTCAGTGTACATATGAGATTTTAAGTGCAGTAATATACAATCAGCACAAAGTGCAGTCATTTGCATAGTTTGAGAGGAGGCATCTCATTAAAAGTCAGGGATGTGTTAAGTAGGGATGAAATCAAGAAATGAAATTTATTGCTGACCGCAGATAGTCCTGTTGTGAGAGTCGTCGTTTATGAAAGATCAAATGATCCACCTAGATTTTGAATACAGCTATTGTATCAGATGTCACTATTTCACTTGGGAGTGAGTTCCACGTTCGAACAACACGCTGGCTGAAGGAAAATTCCCGATTGTCTAGGCGTGTACGATCCCGCTTCACTTTGTACGGGTGACCGCGCAGGTAACTCGTGGTCGTGAATTCAAAGAAGTCGTCAGTTTTGAGCGAATATTCGTGCCCGTGCATAATGCGGAATGTCCAAAACAGGTCACACCTCATTCGTCTATAGGAGAGGGGCAACGAATTTAACTGGATCAGTCTTTCTGGGTAGGACAGAGTCCTGAGACCGTCCACCAGTTTTGTGGCCCGTCGTTGCACCTGCTCTATCGCATCACTGTCTTTCTTCATCCAGGACATCCATGATGGCATTCCGTATTCCAAGCGCGGTCTGACGAACGTGCCGAATATCTGTGAGAAGAGTTCTGGAGGAAAGATTTTGAAGGCACGTCTAATCCAGTGCATGATGCTGGTTGCCTTTTGGACGAATCTTTTGCAGCGCTGGGAGGGCAGCAAGTTTGAGCATGTCCAGACACCTAGGTCTTTGTGCGTGTCCACTTCTTTTATTTGAACCCCATTTATGGTATACTGATGTTTTGGGAAGCGCATCCGTCCAGATTCTAGTCGTAAGACTACACACTTGGATACGTTAAACGTTAGAAGCCATTTGCTGGACCGCGCAGCCACCTTATTAACATCTTCCTGTAGCTTCTGCGCTTCTTCAACGCAGCTGATTATTTTCCAGATCTTTATATCATCTGCAAACATGATGCCATCGCATTCAAGATCTGCAGGACAGTCATTTATATAGATGAGGAAGAGGAGAGGACCCAAGACTGAGCCCTGCGGAACGCCGCTTTTTACTAGCACCCATTCGGATGCAGTGTTACCAACGATCACTTTTTGGAGTCTGCATGACAGG